GAGGAGGAGAAGAAGATGCCTTTGTTTGATCTTGGACAATCTGATTGCCGTCTGGGCGACATGAGAGTGAAGAATTTCACTTCCCGACCCATCGCGACGAACAACAAAGAGGCGACAAGGCTCGAGACGATCCGCTGAAAATATACATCAACCACTGCTGCTGCTGCTGCTGCTGCTGCTGCTGCTCTAGTCTTCCTCCTCCTCCTCCTCCTCCTCCTCCTCCTCCTCCTCCCCTCTCCCAGCTCCTGCTCCAGCTCCTGCTGTTCAACTCCTCCTTGTTCATCTCCTAACCTTGATTTCCCTCCTCTTCTGTTCCTCTCACCTGGCTCTGCTTCCAGCTTGGGGCTCGGAGGACGGATATCCTCCTCGTTGCCGTTGCCCGACGTGTCCAGCGCCATCTTGTTCCTCGCCTCGTCTGCTGCTGCGATCGCGTCTGCTCGCCTAGTCACCTCCTGCTCCCTCCCTGCTCCCTCCGCTCTCCCGTCCTCTTCCCTTCTTCTCCTTCCCTCTCTTTGCTTCCCTTTGGCTTCTCTTTGCTCTCACTTCATTGCTCCTGACCTCAACTGTCTCCCTCCTCCCACCTTCTCCTCCTCTCCTCCCACCTTCTCCTCCTCTCCTCCCACCTCCTCCTCTTCTCCCACCTCCTCCTCCTCTCCTCAGCGCCTCCTGCCCTCTGCTTCTCGTCCTCCCTGTTCTCCCTCTGCCCCCGCCTTCTCACCAGCATTCTTCTGCTTCAGCAGGTTCACAGCTTTGATGTTGAACTTAAGCTCTCCCTGCACCGAGTCTTGAGCGAAGAAGAGGCGAGGAGGGAGGAAGAGCGAGGAGGAGCAGAGCACGGAGAAGCAGGTTGAAGAATAGAAGGGGGGGAGGAGCACAAAGAGGAGGAGAAGCAGGATGAAGAAGAAAGATCAGGAGGAACACAAGCAAAGGAAGGGGTAGGACGATGGAAGAGGAGCAGGAGCAGGAGCAGGAGCAGGAGCAGCAGCAGCAGCAGCAGCAGCAGCAGCAGGTGGAGGACCTTGCTGTTCAAGGTGTAGGAGTTCCCTGCATGATCTTCTGTGGAGAAAAAACCTGTGATGATGCTGCAGCAGCCGTCAGAGTTTCTTCTTCCTCCTTCCCGCCAAGTGCCTGAAAGTGTAGCAGCCCCTCTGCCCCTCCGGTCCTTCACTTTGTGTCAGCGCAGCAGGGAAGAGAACGAGGCAGGTGGAAGGAGAGGAGAAGAGAGCACAAGGAGGACAAAACACAAGGATGGAAACACAAAGAGGTAGGAGGAGCCGAAAGGGAGAGAAGGAGGTAGAAGGAGGAGGAGCA